CCAGGCCATGGTGGAGACACCCCAGAGCTCTGCTTCTGAGCCTACAGCTAAGGGGGAACCTCCAGTCCTCTCTTATCATAGGAAGGGAAGTCTCTTCATGCAAATCTACTGCCTTTATTCTTGTGTCATTGTTAGGTGGCTCTGGTTAGCAGAGGATGCAAATTTGTTCTCCATTCCCTAAAACATCTGTCCTAGTTCTGTCTGGGCCCTGAGCCTGATGGCCTTCTCTGAGTAATTTCTCAAGCTCAGAAGAAGGGTCAAGTGTGTTTTAAGATTCACCCAATACAAGCGGCCTCAAAAAAAGCAACAGTCATGCCCTTTGCACTTGAGCATTCCCAGGGTCTTGGACTCATTAGGGGCCTCAGACTAAACCTCACAGTGTCCCCTGGTGCCCACAGCATGAATGCCATTTTCTGTATGTCACTAGATCACTCAGAAGGGCTACTTAATGAGCCCATAATTCATGCCAGATACATTGGTGACAGTTTTACAAGTGTTACTTCAAGAAGACTTTTATAATATGGAATAGGATGATGGGCAGCCTTATGCTCCAAACCTATCTTTATTAGTGAGTCAATATTAGGAAGTTCAATGTTTTTCCCAAGTCCTCCAGACAGTAGTGAGTGGAGTCAAGATTCCACCCAGGAGATGCACCTCAGAGCCCAACCTTCCAGCCCCTCCCTGCTCAGCCTTCTGCACCCTGCTCCATCTCTTCCTTCTCCAGCCTCCAAGGCCTTTGAAGTCCCTCTTGTTTTTATTTACTAGAGCTCCCACAAACAGATATAAAATAGCTGGTGACCTAAATGGCAGAAACCCATATTTTTGCACATTTGTGAAGCTGGGAAATTCACGATAAACATTTTCGTAGGTTTGGCTTCCCCTGAGGCCTCTGTCCTTGGCTTGCAGGTCGCTGTCTTCTTGTTACGTCCTCACGTGGTCTTTCCTCTGCACTCTCATCTCTGGTATCTCATTTTGGAGGGTGCAAACTTTTTCTTCCTAGGATGACACCAGTATGATTGCATAAGAATCTCCCCTAATTTCTTCATTTTCACTTAATTACCTCTTTAAAGACCCTGTGTGCAATTTCAGTCACACACTGTGCATTACAGCTTCATTGTAAGAATTTTGGGGAACATAATTCAGCCAATACCCATGCACCCTATGCACTCCAAAAAACTCAAGTCTTTCTCCCTTGTAATAACATTCACCTCATCCCAACAGCCCAAATCCTAAACTAACTCAGCACCAACTCTAAAACCCAACCCTCATTCACATATCATCCAAGTCAAATGTGGGTGATTCTCTGGGTGTTTCATCCTGAGAGTTTAAAGGAAAACAGCTTTGGAGGGTTTCATGTCCACTCTCCTGTTATTATCCCAGTGTCCAGAATAGTAAACACCCACTTGATTAAGACTGACACAAAAAAGTGAATCAATATCAGCAACATTTTGAGTTAGCTGTGAAAACTTCACATCTGTTCATTCGTAAAATAATTTAGAGTAAAAATTTAAATGCCCATAAAATTGAATTTTATAATCAGTAGCCATGGGTTATTTCTGACAGCATTTGGAAAACAGCCATAATTAATAGAGAAAATAAAACAAAAAATACCAAAAGTTGAATTGTCTTTAGAGCAGAATATATCTGAGTTAACTAAGATAAATCATAGAAATAATACAGTCCAAAGATAATTAATTTCTCATAATTCTATTAAATTACTAAATCCAATTTTAGCATTGAGCATCAACATTTTGGTGTGCAAATAAAGCAACCTCTCAATGGTTATATAAAAGGGCAATTGTTTCCTACTTCATGTTACAGTTTATTTGTGGCTTAATGGTGCTCTTGACAGTGGGAGAGAAGATGCTCCATACATGTTTCTTTTATCTGAGAAAGGGAAAATATTCTTTTACATAAAATGATAATTTGCAGGATAACATATTTCCACTCTCACCATCCTGTTCTTTCCATGGCAACTTTGGTGGAGGACTTACAATTTAAAAATCTCAAACTCCCTTCTTTATCCCATTGTTAACTTTTGAGTTTTACAATCTACATGCTTTATAAAAATTCGCAACACCTTTAAAACCTGAAGTTCATTTATTTGTTTATTTATAACGCCCAGCATATCAATGATCTTGTGTGTTCTGGTTTTAGCTACAAGGCTGATTTTAAGACCTTTATTCTCGGCCAGGCGCAGTGGCTCACGCCTGTAATCCCAGCACTTTGGGAGGCTGAGACGGGCAGATCACGAGGTCAGGAAATCGAGACCATCCTGGCTAACACGGTGAAACCCCGTCTCTACTAAAAAATACAAAAAACTAGCCGGGCGAGGTGGCAGGCGCCTGTAGTCCCAGCTACTCGGGAGGCTGTGACAGGAGAATGGCATGAACCCGGGAGGCGGAGCTTGCAGTGAGCTGAGATCCGGCCACTGCACTCCAGCCTGGGCGATAGAGCAAGACTCCGTCTCAAAAACAAAACAAAACAAAACAAAACAAAACAAAACAAAAAAAACCTTTATTCTCTCAGCCTACACTGGATCACTCTCAATGTGGCACAAGCTTCCTAGCACATTTGACCCTCCCTCTCCCTTGAATTTTCCACTTAGGAGGGGTCTCCATTCCTCCTATACTAAAGTTCTCACAAAACTCAGAGCAAACGGATGAAGATGAAAGTCATGAGCTTGTGACACAGGGCTGTCTTGAGTAGACACAAGATCCAATCAAATAGGTGATACAAGTATGTTCTTATCCAAAGAAAGACCTCAGACCAATAGAGGAGGTGGAATACAGTTTCCCTCACAAAAAAGTCTCCACCTAGAATATATGCTGGTGCAATGTTCAAATTTCAAATGGCCCTAAAAATGAGGGAGCATTAAACCACATCCTGTGGGACATCCTGGCTTGCCACTTTTTTTTTTTAAATGGCCCCGGAACTGATAGCGGTTTTTATATTTTTAAATGGTTGCAGATGGTGCTATCAGTACATACATGTTATCCTCAAAGTTGATTTATGTGTGAAAAAGACTAAAATACTTCTTATCTAGACATTTAAGAAAAAGTTGACCAAATCCTAAAAAATTATGAGCACTGAAATATTTGAGTAAATACTCAACCTCAAGCAAAATAGGAGAAATCAAAACTAAAAGTGTAACAAGATAACATTTTATATCTCACAGGTTGGCAAAACTTGCACATTCACCAATGTATTCTGATCAATATTTAGGGCTGGCATTGTAAACTGGTAGAACTCCTCTGGAGGGGAATGTGAAAACGATGGGGAATAATTACAAATGCACATACTTTGTCCCAGAAATCCACTTCTGGAAATTTATTCTATGGTCATACGCACACATGAACTCAAAGGAGTCTGCACAGGGATGCTCGCTGTAGTGTGATTTGTAAGATCAAAATCATGGTGATAACCATTAGAGGCTGCATGGCTAAAATCCTGCTGCGGAATACTCTACAGCCTTAGAATGAATGGGCAGCGCTCTACGCCTAGGATGACACAGGAAAGAATAAGAAATGGTGCATGTATGGGATGGTCTTTGACAAGGGGGACCAAGACAGGCCCCTTACACTTCACTCTCTCCTTTTCCTCTGAGCTCTTTCACATCAGCCAAATAGATTACGGACAGTAGAAGCCCCTGCAGGCTGGGCCTGGCCACCTGATCTGGCCTCTGAATGCAACCTGGCCTGACAGCTTGGCTGCAACTTCATGACCAACCCAGAACCAGAACCACAAAACTAAGCTGCTCTCAATTCCAGATGCACCGAAGTGACAAGATCACAAACACGTGTTCTCTTAATATGCTAACTATTAGGAAGCAATTTTTATTCAAAAGTACACAATAAATACAGTTTAGGTTTTTGAAATACATTTTCTTGTGGATATTTCAAGTACACAACATGTTGATATAGTATACACATATACTAAAACGGTTACTTTGTTTTTCGTAAAATCCATTTAATCAAAGTTTATGAAGCCTAAACTATATATATTCATGGCTATGTTTACCAATTGACTCGTGAAATTTAAATATTGGATGCAGGTAAAGTCTCAATATTTATTAAATGAATTCTCACCTTTAGTGGATTAATAAAGATTTCAGCTACAGAAGTATTGATGCCCACAGAAATTACAAATTCTGGATGTCAGTGAAGAAGAAGGAAAGGACTCAGGTTAACTCTTCCCTGTGGAGCCATTTTGGAAGCTCCCGTCCTGTAGGGAGACCATCCACTTTTGGGGACTTTCCAGGACAGGGTCTCAGCGATGTGAGATGGGGATTTTGAGAGAACACTAAGTCTGTCACTCCAAATCTCTCTAACTCAGCAACCTGAGGTATTGAGGCAAAAAGGAGAAGCAAAAAAAAAAAAAAAAAGGTCAGGTGCAGTGGTTCATGCCTGTAATCCCACATTTTTGGGAGGCTGAGTCAGGTGGATCACCTGAGGTAGCCCAGCCTGGCCAACATAATGAAACCCGGTCTTTATTAAATATACAAAAATTAGCTAGGCATGGTGGTACAGGCCTGTAATCCAAGCTACTCAGGAGGCTGAGACAGGGAGAATTGCTTGAACCTGAGAGGCTGAGGTTGCAGTGAGCCAAGATCGCGCCATTACACTCCAGCCTGAGTGACAGAGTGAGACACTGTCTTAAAAAAAAAAAAAGAAAAAAGAAAAACGACAGCTTCCTCTTGTTCTTAATCCCTCAAAAACATTTTCAGATCTTCTCACAGTGATTGTCACTGCTTCAGAACAGAGATTCAGAGGAATAGCCCCGCCAGGAGAGTCATCTTCATCTTCACCAGAGCGTGGTGGACACAGAGTTGAGTGAGATACAATTTCAGGAAACTCCTTGTAATGACTTCTGTCCAGGTTGGTCTGCACAGTATTGGATATGGGGATGCATTTAGGGCAAGGATACCCCTAAAAACAGCAGTGAATACACCTCCTTTGCGTTATGTGCCTACATTTGAAGAACTGGGAATAATTGCGCATTCAGGGACCACAACACACAAGCAACAGGAAGCTGTCCTTGTCCTGGATGAGAAACCACAGAGCAGGTTTCCTTTTGGACTTCGTGGTGAGAAAGGAGAGGAGCTGAGAGAGGGGAATTCGCAAGGAGGTGCTGCAAGAAGCCCCTTGCACAGGGTGAGGAAACATCTTCAGAACAAGGGAGAGCCTGAGAGCCCAGGGCAAGTTTGGTCTCAATTCTCCATGAATTTGGACCACTGTGGAAAGTGCCACCTCTCCTATGTGAGCTGCAGTAATAATCAGCCTCATCCTGAGCCTGGAACCCAGAGATGGTCATGGAGGCTGTGTTGCTAGACTTGGAGCCAGAGAAGCCATCAGGGACCCTTGAGGCCTGAATACTGACACCAGAAATCATGGGTCTGAGAACTGTGTCACCCAGTGTTTTGGGGTCAAGAGCAGAAAGGCTTTGCAGCAGGTGCAGGCAGGGGAGTGAGTGTCCTGCTATTGGGCCAGAGAAACTAGTAGAGTCTACCATAATAGAGGAACTGGACATAGAAACTGAAACTTTGTGCTTAAGGCAAGGTTTCAGTGGAGAATCCTACTGTAGACCCATGGGATTTAGCAACAAGTCTATGTCATGTGCAATAGAGAATTATTTCCTTTTGAAAACAACCTCTTCTATGTTCGGGGCTTTGTTACATCGAGAACTACATGAGACAACAGTGACCACGCAGCCAGACTTGTCAGATCCCCTCAGTCATGAGCTCAGGCAGGGAAAGAAATGATCCATAGTGAGATGGAGGTGGCACAGGTAGGATGGAGCAGAAGCAGAGCCCAAGGGCACTGTATTCCTCACAAGCAGGTTCTTCTCTGTTATTCCAGTGCCTCTTCCTGGGTTCACACTTCCATCGTCTGGTGGAGATGGGGCTTCCTGCACCAGGTTACTCGACAGCACCTGTCACCTGAAAGAGTCCTGACCAGCTCTGTCCCATAATGGTATGACATGATCCTCCTGTGACCCCTAGTGTCTAGTAATCACATTTAATATAAAAAGATAAGACAAATAAAATAAAAATAAATATGGCTAAATAGTATACTTTATTCTTGTGAATAAAGCAAAATACCATCATTTTCACATGTTATCAACATGAAATTATTTGTGAGATGAATTACATAGATTTTCATGGCTATTGTTACTGTTATTTTTCTGGAGATCAATAATTTGGGGAATGTGTAGTTGATGGGGATGTGAATGAGTTTTCTGTTGACCAGGGTGACCTGCAGTGGCTTTTGATGTGACAAGTGACCTGTTTTTTACCTAGCTCATCACATCTACATATCTGGTTGGGATTGTAGAAAGGAGCAACATTTGGAGATGTAGAGGGCAGTGTCGATCCTGCAGCTCACCCTGTGGGTACGTCTGTGGTCCCTGCATGGGATGAGGCTGCTCCTGCCCCGGGTTTCCCTGCAGGGAGATCTGATTCCAACTCTCCCTCAACCCAGAGCACCTGAGTTGAGGCTCCCTTTTCATTCCATAAAAATTCAAGGAACAATCACATTGGGCATTTGAACATTTACTCTGAAAATTTAGAACAGAAGCCAGAGTGTTCAGTGTATAGTGGCCTCCTCAGGTCCCTGGTGGCCCATGTAGAGGCATTTGGCCATCTTAGATGGGGTTCACTGGAAGCCGACTCTGAGATGGAGATTTCCACGCACAGAAGATTTAGAAGGGAGTGAGGGAGGCAACACTGGGCAGAAGGAGACCCTGACTCATGGTGGGGTTGCCTCTGAGGCCTCAGGCGTCCACACAGGGAGCTCTGGAGCTGGGAGGCCCTTCATTCAGTGGCATCTCAAATTGAGGCAGGGACTTGAGACCTTGGTTGATGAAACCAAACCCCTCTGAGAAGGGACATAGACTTGAGGCAGCTTTCTGCAAACAACAGCACTTCCCAGTGAGGGCGCAGCTCTGAGCTACTGGGCTTCTCAGCAGTGCCAGGTGGGTCACATGGAAGAGGAGATGTGGGCAGACTTCACAGTGTCCCCTCCTCTGGTTTGCTCTGTTGGGAATCACAGGCTGCCACACAGCCTCAGGCCCAGGACCTCAGCAGAGCTGGGCAACAGTTCTGGGGCCTGATCCAGACAGCTGGTCTAAGGACGGGCCCAGTCCCCACCATATGACCATACAGGGGCAGGACAGTGGACAGAGGTTGCCTCTGTCTGTCTTTCTACCCAGGCCCTCATTCTCAACTTACACAACAGCTCCAGTCACCAGATGATTCTGGTCCTTCCAGGCCATGTCTCTGCCTGATGTACACTCTGTAGAGACTCCTGGAGGGGACTGAAGGGAAGGGCAGCCTGAAAGGCTCAGATCCAGGTGAACTGGGCCAGATTCACTCATGGTTTTATCCACAGGCCTCCCGGGGCTGGAGCAAGAGGGTGGCAGAGGCTGGGAGGGTGTTTTGGTCTCACTTCCCCATCTGCCTGTGTCACTGTGGGATGATCACTACTACTGTCCCACACCTGACAGTAATAGTCAGCCTCATCCCCGGCCTCGACCCCGCTGATGGTCAGGGTGGCCGTGTTCCCTGAGTTGGAGCCAGAGAATCGCTCAGGGATCCCTGAGGGCCGTTCACTATCACTATAGATGACCAGCACAGGGGCCTGCGCTGGCTTCTGCTGGTACCAGTTCACAACTTTACTTCCAATGCTGTCTCCCCCACAGGTGATCCTGGCCGTCTGTCCTGGGGACACTGACACCGAGGGTGGCTGAGTCAGATCATAGGAGGCCGCAGAGCCTGCAAAGGAAAAGAAAGAAAAAAAGTAGAGGTTAACTTGCAGGTAAAGACCCTTTTTGTGAAATCCCTGCCCTGCTGTCCGGACAAGCTCCAGAGAGTCTGTGAACCCTCAGCGTATCCCCCGCAATCAGCCCCAGTGCCAGTGGCCCATGAACTTTCCTGTTGCGTGGAGCCTTTGAACGGAAAACCCACTACTCTCTCCTGGCAGGTGCTGCCCTCATGCCCTCACGAGTCTTTGAGCAGAGTGTGGGGCGATTTTAGCCCCACCAGCGTCTGACCCTACAGCAGGGTCATGACCATCCTACCCACCACAGGCAGGGCCCTCCTGAGCTAAGAGTCAAGGCCACACTGCACCCAGATCCCTAGGGCTGGGCAGGTTGGTGAGACCCTGGGGGCAGCACCTGTGCAGTAAGCGAGGAGGCCGAGGAGGAGAAGGGTCCAGGCCATGGCTGAGGCACTGCCAATGCTGCTTCCTGAGGCCCAGGCTGGGCAGGTTCCTCCCAGGCCTCTCTTATCTTCTTACTGGAGAGAGCGGCCTGTGATGCAAATCAGCAGAGTTAGGGGCTGCTGCTGGAGGAGATCGGTGGTTTCCTGAGAAGGGTTCAGCCTCAAAGGAAACAGAAGGAGGAGGGATGGCCCCTGCTTACCCAGCCCCTCAGCCCATGCGATTTTCCTTCACCCACTGGTCCCATGGTCCGGGCTCACATCTTTACCTAGGTTGTGCCCAGCCTTGCTCTTTGGCTGGGTTGGTCATGGGAAAGCTCAGAGGTGACTTTCTCTATTTTCCAGGGGATATAAAGTCCTTTCAATGGGATAGAGTTTGGCTGTGGTTCAAGAGGTTGCCAGAGTCACAGTGGTGACAGGGAAATTATCTGGGGTCCACAGTCCCCTCATCCATTCCATCCTTGCTCAGGAGGGAGGTGGTTAGCTTTTTTCTGCTTCTCTAATAGTGTCCTGATTATAAATATTTTATGTCAGACATGAGACGTACAGTATAGGCGAAATCCATTTTGAAGTCACGTTCCAGAGCCCAATGCAGGGACCCTCTTCATTCTCACTCATGTCCAGGACACATCCAGAGCCCAATGCAGGGATCCTTTTCATCTCCCTCAGAGGACAGCACAAGCCTTGGACAGGTGCAGGCCCCACTCCAGGGCACAGCTCTTCTGTCCTAGAGGAGAATACAATCCTTGGTTGCCAAGGGCACACAGAATTTTGGAAGATCCATGGGACGCAGTAAGTTTCTGCCTCAGCTGTGAGTTCTGTGCCAGGTCATAGGTGCTGTGCCTCAGTATCCCCAGGGTGCTGTCAGGACCAGGGACAGATCAGGAGGTGAAGGAAATTTTTGCTTCATGAGAGAATGAGAGGGGGCTGCAAACTCCAAGACCCAGGAAATGAATGTTTATTATAACTAAGTTGTCTTCAGTTGCTGGGAAAATGTATCGATGTATACAAACTTCAGTCAGTGAAAGATTAATGAGTAAGTGTTTTGTGCTCATAAGGAAATCAAGAAATGTGAATTGGCAGGTTCCCCAGGACAGAGTTGGGGAAGACCGGGGACAGTGGATGTTGAGGGGTGGCCAGGGAAGGAGAAGCCGCTGTGTCTGCAGGATAAGGGCTCCCCAAGCAAGGGCAGGGATGTGGGACACGTGTGAATACAGGATGGGATGACATGTGTGACTGTGAGACGGGGGCCATGGCGATGGGAAGAGGCAAAGTTCCTGAATGTGTGTCAGAAAAATAGGGATCATCTCCAAGAGTCAGATCTGAGAACCAGGAAGTCCGAATTTAAACATCGGTGTCAGGGACAAATACTATAAGAAAAGAGGAACTTCTTTCCCTCCGGATCTCAGGTCATGGTCGCTGACCCTCCCAGCATGTCAGCATCTCCGTGATCCAGGCCCACCCCATCCAGAGGTGTTTTTGTCAGGTTACTCTCTGCTGCCCCCTCGTGGCCACCTACGCTGGCTACTGGAGGCTCAGGGCCCTCCTGGGTACAGGTGTAGCTTCAGATTCTGCTGCTCAAGTCCCTGATTCCTTCATTCATGGACTGCTGACCTCAGGGAAGAAATTCCTCTTCTCTGTGTGGCCTCTTCCTGCCTCAAGACCCAGCACAAGGTGCTGAAGATTCCTGATGGAAATACAAACACTTCATGTAATAGTGGCGGTTTCAGGTTCTTTCTCAGGCTCCTTGCACGTCTCTCTGGGTGGTGGGTGGTCCTGAAGGGAGATTGGGCCTTGGAACTGAGGGATGCGGGACTCACGTGTGGCTTTGACTGGTTCTGGATACAAATACAGGGCCAGGATGGGTTGGTGGTGACTCCTGCAATAAAACAGAGACAGAAGCTCATTCACCCAGCAAATATTTCCCCCTGATCCACTCTGTCCTGGCAAGACAGCTTTTTAGGAATTCAGCATGCGGAAGACACAGTCCTTGCTCTGAGGAGTTTCCTGTCCTATTCCTGGGTCAATGCAGTAACCAGTGCGTGGGTCCAGACCAGGTCCCAGCCCCTCCCTAGTTCACCTGGCCCTGAAGACACTCAGGGGAGTTGGTCCTGGTCACTCCCCTGTACCCCCGATGCCCACCAGTCAGCCCTGTGGGGACCCCCCCTGCTGCCTGTGTGTCTGGTCCTGGGCCAGCTTTCTGGGGCCCCACTGGGTCACTCAGCCCTGCTTTCCCTGAAGTTCTAGAGCTTTGCTGACCCAGAAGCAGAGAATTCAGGGAGTGTACTTGACAAGGAAAGGAAGGGCCTGTGAGAGGGAGTGACAAAGTCAAGGCCACTGGGGAAGAAAGAAAGAAGAGCAGGACCAAGGAAGTCCTACACCCACAGTGATGAGCTCTTCTGAGTGTCCTGGGACCCACCTGAACTTGGGAAGGGGACATGGGAAAATCCTGAGCCAAATTTTTGAGGTCCTGATGCAAACAGCTTCTCCTCGTCAGTTCCTCCAGCTGCCTGTGGGGAGTGCAGCTCTACCTGGACATGGAGCCAGTCAGGGCCTGGGTGGGCAGCCAGCTCCCTGCACTCATTGGATCATTAGAAGACTCAAAGGACGTTACTCCAGATTTTAAACAAACATAGGCCTTTTACCTGACACATTTTTGACATAATGTTTAAGGATTAGGGATCCCCTATAAAAATGATCTATGTTAATATTTTATTATGTCAATTAATGAGTTGTAGATATATTAATACAATAGTATTTCTTGGTACTTTTTTGAGCAGAGTATCATTTTGTTTTCCATTTTTCCCATTTCCATGAGGTACGGGCACAAATCAAGCCATGAACACTGATATGAGAAGCCTCTGCTTTTTTTGTTCAATACGTCTCAAACCTGACATGCTTACCTTATGCAGGTGTCCTAAAGTGCATCAGGAGCAACATCGGTTGGAGCAGTAGGCAGAGAAATGTCACCTATGGTATGATTTTGTCCAAGAGCCACACAATGTATTTTCTCATGGAGCAAATAGATGATGCTCCCATGCAGGTGACCTTGCACAGGTGTGACCGAGTCATTCCAGGTCAGATATAAGCTGAGCAAGTTTGCTTCCCAGTGACCAAGGTGGCTTCTGTCCCGCTCAGCTCTCTGAGAAGCTCCCTCTTTGCTCCTGGTTCTTCCTGCTGGGAAGATGCTCTTTTTTGGGGGAAATGCAGAGCTCGGGCTGTCATGGGAGAATGAAGGGACCTCGTCTGTGGGCTCTGAACCTCCCGAACTCACAGGTCCTTATTCTTCTCTGGATGCAAAATTATCAGGCAGCAAAATAACAGAGCAACGGCCCCTTACCTGACCCAGGTTGTGCTGAAAAGGGTTTCCTAGTGCAAATCTCCCAGACGGTCTCCAGGAGCCTGAGACTGGCTGAGTCAGTCCTCACTGAGACCCAAGCAGCAGGGAAATGTGTGAAGCTTCCCTCTTGTGTCGTGGTTCATCCAAAGATTGAGTTTTCTTTGAAATCCCAAAATCCTGTCTCTTGAAATTCGGAGCCTTGCAGAGACGTGTTCACTGCTTCAAGTGGCGAAAAGTCTCCAGATGGATGAGTTCCTGCATCCATCTGCACTTTCAAAAGTCTATAATTTAGAGTTCAGGCATGTTTGTAGAGCAAAAGCTCCAATAAAGTAGGTGTAGAAGAGTGTGTTAGACAAGCAAGGGAGATGGTGAGAGAGAACCTGAAAGCTTCTCAATCCCCTTCACCTCTAACCTACGTGGTTCACATCTCCCAGGAACATACAGATGAGGGGGCCATGGACAGCAGAGACTGAGGGATGGAAATTCCATATTTGGGACCACAGGTTTCTTCATCTTCCTGTTCCACCAGCAGATCTAATCCCCTTATGCACATCAGAGATAAGGTGTTCTCAGGCACTGTCTATCCCTCCATGTGACTGAGGGTCCAACAGCTATGAATGACCTTTTTCTTGAGAATCAAATTTGGATGTAGACTCAGCAGTGGATACGGTCCTCCCAAGCACAGGGATCATTCACAGTGAGCAGCACAGAATCTGCCCCGTGGGCACACTGTGCACGGCTCCACAGCACACCAAGTTTAGCCCTACTGTGTGGAAACAGTGCTGCTGCCAACAGTGAACACTGTCATCACGGGGGGTACTTTTTACACAACTCTTCACAAGACTTGACAAAAGATACTGGTTTAGAAATGCTGCCTGGAGACACCTGACCATCAAATATGAACATGAAGTTTGAGTATTCTCCCTGGCAACAAATTAACAGCTTCAATAGACATTCCTGGAAAGCTGGAAATGTGTGACTTTGGACCAGACAGGAGATCACTGTTAATGAAAGAAAGAGTGAGAGAGACAGACAGTTGAATTGTAGCATATAGGACAGAGAAAATGGTGCTTAGTACATAATTCTTCCATTTTTAGCAGTTCTCTGCTTTCAAAATTAAACTAGTATTACCTTGCTTCCAGAGTATGCAATATTTTTATTATGGTAAAATAAACATAATAAAATGTTTCATCCTTTTATTCGTTTTTGAGTGTGTAATTAAGTGGCAGTTAGTACAGTAAAATTGTTGTGCAAACATCACTACTATCCAACCCCAGAGCTTTTTCATCAGTGCACTCAGTACCTCTGTATCTATTAGGCAACTACTTTAGAAAATCCCAAGGATGAACCAAAGACGGTGTTAGCACTTCAACCCCAGCTTCTGCGAAATCTCAGCACAGTAGCGGGTATTCCTCATCCGGGAACTCAGATGAGATGCAGCCCCTGGGGCCTTTTCTGGGCTGTTTCTTCCCAAGGAGCAGAGGAATTTCAACAGGACTGTGGCCTCTGAGACAGCTCTCTCCTCTCTGACAGTGCATGTGATTAAATCTGGGGTCCTCATTTTCAGTTCACTGAACTGATCTCTACAATAGTTGAATGATCCTGGAAGATGAATTTGGATTTGTACAGATCCATACAGGCAACAGTGGCATTTGTAATACCTGTGCCAGATGGGGATCTCCTGGAACAGAATGCTATGGCTGCAGGTGCACAGTTACACCATTGAAGCAGATACTGAATTCTTGTCTGTTCCCCTCAGAGACTAGGATCAGAATCAGTGCACATTCATGTGGGATGGACAACAGTATACATTCACACTTTTTCTGCCGAGCATCATTAGCTCTGCCTTCCCTGTCATGATATCATTGTGGGGGTTCAGACCATCTGGACATCAGAGTTGAATCACATGTACATGATGGGCACGGCCTATTGGAAGGTTTTGGGAGATCCATGCACTTTTGAGAGTGGGAAATAAACTAAGATGCTTCCTCCTCCATGTTAGCTGAAATTGGGAGTTTAGTTGTCTGGAGCAGCTGAGACTCTCCTATAAAATAAAGAACATGTTATTATATCCTTCAGCTCCCCCCAGGAAGAAAGAGACACAAGGTCTATAAAGGTCTAGTGGTAGCATATTTTACACTCTGGGAAGGGGCTCCAACCCATATATGAGGAGCCATAAATATCACCCATTGTTTTCCAGGCCCAGAGCATTGAGGCTCTGCAGCAGGTGCAGGCAGGGTTGTGAGTGTCCTGCTGTTGGGGCCAGAGAATCCAGCTGACTCTACTGTGGGAGCTGAAACCTCCTGCACATGGCAAACCCCATTGGAGAATCCCAATGTAGACTCCTGGGGTTTTGGAAGAAGGCCATGTCATGTGCAGTAGAGCATTACTTCCCTTTCTAAAAACAGCTCCTTTTGTCTTACTGGGCCCCGGGAGAGACAAGATAACACTGGACATCAAGCGACCATGTTGCCAGAACTGCCTGATCCCCCCAGTTGTGAGCTCAAGCAGGCCAGCAGTGATCCCTGGTGAGATAGACGTGACACATCTAGGACAGAGCAGGGTCAGGGCTCCAGGACTCAGTCACCTGCATAAACAGCTGGTCTACATTCGTGTTCTCATTTCTCTTCCACCAGTGCCTCTCCCTGGCTTCACACATACGTCTTATGGGTGGAGATGGGGCTGAAGCAGGTTACTCCACTGCACCTATCACGTTAAGGGGTAAAATGAGACCAGCATTGTACGATCACAACATGATGTGAGTCTCAGGCAAATCCTACTGTCTAGTCACCATATTAGACATAAAAAATAAAAAGGTAAATCAGTTTCAATAATATACTGTATTTAACACAAAGTGTGACAAATAATATTTACACATGAACACAATCTAAAATTATTTATGAGATATTTTATAGACATTTTCATAGCTACTGTTACCATTATTATTTTGGGGAGATTCTTTATGTTGGGATTGTGTGGTTGATGGAGATTTGAAGGAGTCCGATTAACAAGGGTGACCTGTGCTGGCTTCGTAAGTGTCAACTTTGATAAGCTGAAGGAGGAGTGAAAGCGTGATTGTTTGTACAGGATTTGCAGGGTGGAGGTGGGCAGCTCCATCCTACAGTTGCCTCTGTGGGTGCATCTCTGATCTCTGCATGTGGTGAGGGTGCTCCCCTTTCAGTGCATTCCTTGCAGGAGGATCAGACTCCATCTCTCCTTCAGGACTCCTAGAACCTTGTATGTCAGGCTCCATTTTCATTTTCTAAGAATACAAGGAACACTCAGATATAAATGGGCATTTGGATGCTCACAATGGAAATTTGGTAAATTTGCTCGTGTTTCCACCTCAGGTCTATGGTAGTTCATTTTGGTGACAGCTGGTCTTCTTAGTTTGGGTTCCCTGGAAGTAGACTCTGAGATAAGGATGTGCACACACAGAAGATCTGGAAGGAGTGAGGGAGGCATCACTCGCAGAAGGAGACCCTGACCCACAATAGGGTTGCAACGGAGGCCTCAGGCATCCACGATGGGAGGTCTGGAGCTGGAAGACCTTTCAGTGTCATCCTGTATTAAGGCAGGGCCTTGGGTTCTTGGCTCACGCAGTCATCAAATCAAAACTCTCAAAACTGGGCCTAAATATGAGGAAAGAAGTTTTCTGGAACTAATAGCACTTCCCAGTGAGGGCACAGTTCTGAGCTCCTAGAAGCTCCCAGCAGTTGAGGGTGGGTGAGCTCAGAAAAGGGTATTGAGGCTGATCCCACAGTGTCCCTTTCTCGGCTTTTCTTGTTCAAAATCCCAGGCTGCCATGGAAGCCTGGAACCTCAGGTGTTGAGCTGAGCTGGGCATTTTTGGGCACTGATGTAGGCTATTTGGAAGGAGTGACCCAATCACCATCGTGTGGAAATCTAAGGCCAAGTGATGGTTCTCTACATCTCTCTTATCTTCCATCCAGTTCTTATTTCCCCAAGTCACTCCAGAGGCCTAAAAACACCATGAATTCTGATTATAGCAGCCCTAAATCCACTCCTGATCCACCCTCTGCAGAGCCAACCTGGTTGGCTGGATGAAAGGATGGCCTGGAGGTCTCAGATCCAGTAGAACTTGGCCAGACCTGTTCATGGCTTGGTCCACAGTCTTCCTGGTGCTGGAGGAAGAACATGACACAGATGAAAAAGGGGTTTGTGTCTCACTGCTCCATCTGCCTGTGTCACTGTGGGATTGTTCTCATTCCCAGAAAAACAGGAATAGTCAGCCTCGTCTTCGCTCAGGGTGCTGCTGATGGTCAGGGTGGTCGTGTCCCCTGAGGTGGACCCAGAGAATCGCTCAGGGATTCCAGAGGGTCGCTTACTATCTTCATATATCACCAGCACAGGGGCCTGGCCGGGCTTCTGCTGGTACCAGTCAGCATAATTTTCCTTCAGTATATCTCCAGAGAAGGAGATCCTGGCTGTCTGTCCTGGGGACACTGACACCAAGGGTGGCTGTGTCAGCTCATAGGAGGCAACAGAGCCTGCAGGAGAGGACAAGAGAAGGGGCTTGAAGATAACAAACCCATTCCAGTGGTGTCACCCTGGGGCTCTGCCTGGGCTGAGCTCAGGGTTCAGGGCAGGACAAGCTCAGAGGCCTAAGAGGGCTGAGCTTGGAGCAGCGCCTGGGGGCAGCACCTGTGTAGAGGGTGAGGAGCGGGAGCAGGAGTGTGGTCCGGGACATAGTGAGACACCCAGAGCTCTGTCTCCTGAGGCTGCAGCACAGCTGGGCTCCCCAGTCCTCTCTTATTTCCTCTCATTTCCACTGGAGCAGTGCATCCTTGGTGTTTATGCAAATTTACTTCTGTGGGACTCCTCATGGTGGGATATCCCTCAAGCCAGCTCTGGGGCAGCACAAGAAACTAAGAAAGAAGGAGTGAGTCCCCAAATTCCTTCATCTGCTTCTCTAGTCAGAAAATCAGCTTTGGCCTTCAAGACCTGTGATCACAGTCACCTGCCTGGGTATTGACAACATGGTTGCTGTCTCAAACCTCTGTCTCATGTGGTCTGTCCTAGGCTGCATTGAGCAGGGCTGTGGACCTTCCAGGAGCCTGGCGTGGGGCTGAGCTGGGCCCTGCTGAGAGATCATTGATGACACCTGACTCAGCAGCAAGTGCACTAAAGATGCGTCATCTTTCTCCTCTTTCATCTCCGCTCCGGATGCCCCAGAATCACTTGGCCCCATCCTGGCAATTTTATGTACATGATGTACTGTGTCTTTAGGACACTTATTAATCATCGCCGTTGGAAGAGTTTTGTCATTTGAGCAACCACACACATTGTGGATGCATCCCAATCCCTAGTCTCATTTGACACGTGCTGCTGCTCTTTCCGTGGTATCCTCCAACCCCGCAGTGGACCAGCAATTGCCATCCTCAGCTCTTCCTTTATTTATTCACCTTTTCTCATCAACGTTTTATGTAAACTTGCGAAAAGAACCAGATAATCACACTGCACTGAAAATCTAACTTTTGGTCCCATGGTCTCTCTGAGGGTCTCCGGGTCATGGTCTCTGCTCAGGACATGAGCTCCAAAAGGTGTGTGTTCCGTAGTTCCTCCAGCCATGCAGATCCTGTCACTGATCAAAGGACAGCCCTGTGGTGAGAGCTGTGGACTGGGGCAGGTGAGAATCCCCTTTCCTCTGGAGAGCGTCTCCTCAAGGAGGCTGGGGATGCCCCATGCAGAGACCAGAGCCCTGATCGCCCCACCCCACCCACCTGAGACTCCCCTGAGCACAGGAGCTCCCCCCTGAGTCAGAGTCCACCTGGAGCTGGAAGGAGAGGCAGAGGGAGGAGGGGTCGCTTGTCTCTGGAAGTGCCCAGGACAGAGGGATCGGCTCCCCAGGACACTGCTGGACAGGGAGGGATGAGGCCCTGAGAGTGGCAGGAGGCTCAGGCAGTCATCCTGGGTGAAGGACTTGGGCTCTGGGAGCCCCATCCCCTCAAACTTTGCCCCTTCCAGAGCACCTGGACCTCTGGACATCTCCCAGGGATTCCATCCTTGTGGCAGCTGCCCAGGCTGACCCCTGGGCCCAGACTCCTCCAGCTGCATTTCCCAGGCAAAATCCTAACTGTGCCTGGCCTCCTGCCAGTGTCCTGAGGTGATGATTTGTGTGCTTAACTCTCAGAATGTGGTTACTGCAGCCCGAGGGGTACGGCGCACCGTCCCGACTTCCGGGCTGAGGACTGATTCTCCGACATCTGTTGCACCCCAGGCTGGCCTCCCTCTTAGACTCCACCTGGGCAGCCCCAGCCTGTCTCCTGGTTGCTCCTGGATGCAGCTCTGCTACCCCCTGCTGGTGGATGTGACTCACACCAGCAGCTTCCCTCCTCCAGGTGACCTGTAGCACCTGTCACCTCAGAGGCTATGGACCAGGGAGTCCAGCCTCATTCTGTGCCAGCGTGACCCCATCTGCCTTGCTTGGCACAGAGAGGCCACATACACTTGCAGGGAGGTGGGGTAGGTGGAATTGCTATAATGATGTCCCAGGTTTGAAATGCCCTACAACAGTGGTTTGGTTGTCAGGACTAATTAGAGTGAGGCAACCGAAGCTCTTCTACAAAGCTTTCAACGTCCAGAGATAGATGCAGGCCATTCTTCAACGATTCAGATTTCCTATACACTTAGGAAGCAAACGGGTGCACCTCCCACCTAATAAGAGCAGCTGTGGTTCACTGCGATCACCCCATGTTTCTGGCACTGCAGCTTAGTTGTGAACTAACATCACTATCGTTGGCATGATTAATTTCATGTTTATGTTTATTTCATTCCACACCTCTTAGAGTTTGTGCCAGGAGGATTTCTTCACTAGCCTAATCTGTCTTCCTGACGAAACTGGGATTCTCTTGCTTATTCTCAGATGGGGACCACTCTTCCCACCATACAGAAAACAGGCACTTTTTGACCACCTTTCTTGGGATTCCTGCAGAGGAATGATGAGACATTCCATGTCTGAGGCCCATTGGAGCCCATTCAATGATACCCCCTCATCAGACTTTAACTAATATGCCTTTTGTTGCTTTTCTGTCATGTAATTTTGAATTAAGAAAAAAGATTTTTAAGTTCAGTATAAGCTTCCCCAATTCACAGGAAGTGATACTCAGGTCCCAAGAGACTAAGTGGCTGAGGAGAAGAGAGAGCAGTGGTGGCAAGTCCAGGAGTTGACACAGGTGTCCTGAGTTCTGAACTTGGGACCTTGGGGGCAGAGCTTGACCAGGGTGGGGAGGAAGGGGCATGAGGGCGAGGCAGGCAGCAGGACTGTGTCTCACAAGCACACTGCCATTCCCCGTCATGGTCTGGCCATTCTGAGAAGCCCACTTCAGCCTGCGGAAGGTGGAGGCTGTACCCCAGGTTAGAACTGGAGCATCTGTGGGGATTGAGGGCTGTTTTGGGTGCAGGGCCTGGCCTGGCACCTGCTGGTTCTCTCTGCACTTTTGCCTGCTCCAGTCTCTCCTGAGAAGGTGGTGGACAGGTGTCTCATGCCCACCTCTCCTGGGGGCAGCTGAGTCTGTAGGAGACCACAGAACCTGTGGGTTGAGGAGACTTCGGGGCTCATTCTCAGGGACCCATCTCCTGAAGCATCACCTGGGCTTAGGGCCCTGTGGGGACTTATCTGGGGGCAGCATCTGTGCAGAGTGAGGAAAGGTGACAGGTGGGGGGCACAGGCCATGGGGAAATGTCCCAGAGCTTTGTCTCTGGAACCCATAGTTGAGGCCATTTTCCTCAGGCCTTCTCCATACTCTCAAAGGTACCCACGAAAATGCTCCCTCCATCACGCTGGTCTGGAGAGAGCTTGGAGGCTCCAGTGTGGGAGTCACGGGTTTGGTTCATGTGAGATTATTCTTCTCATATCTCATAGGGGAGGGATTATTTGAACAAACTCAAAGGAACTACAAGAATCCCATACCCATGGTTGTCTGTGAAGCTCACAGGGTGGGAAGGTGTCTCCGTGTTGCCAGGGCCCTGGCCATTGTTGTGTCTCAGTCCCCCTCCTGTTGCTCTGTCAGGACCAGACCCGGGTGTACATGTGGCCCACCCTGAACAAGGTTCTGTATGAGCATAACAATTGTTAATGACCTTTACTCAGCACTGACTATGGCCTGTGACTTGCCTGTTTCTGGGCCCTGCCCCCACAAACTCATTTAACCCAGAAGCACATCTGAGGGAGGAGGTAAGTGAGGAAAATAGAAAAGTTTTGAATTTGGGACATTTGATACTTGAGGCATCCCTTGGCAACACCAGCAAGCACATGTACACACAAGCACACACACTCACACACAGGCATGTGCATTTACACACAGGCACACACATCAACACAGAGGCATATGCATTTACACACTTGCATACACATGGCACTGTTTTGTGCACAGGTAAAAAGGGAGCACAGCCTTCATCCTGCTGTCCTGTTCTGTGGGCTTTCTGTTGCAGGCACCTGAATGAGTTCTGAGAGATATCACCAGGATGTGTCCCAGCAGAACTGCAGCAAAACCACTTTGTCTTGTCCAACTCTGTGATGTATGTTACACTCCTACTTGCCTTCCTAGACCTGGCCTTGCTTGGGACTTCCTGGTGCTGGGAGGAGATGTCCAGTTCTGCAGAAACAGTTAGGACAATCTGCTCAAGATTGACAATTAGTTTTTGACCTGTGGCATGGACAGGTCTGGGGTCAGAGCTGTGGCCTGAGGCAGGTGTGAAGCCCCGTCCCTCTGGAGAGTGTCTCCTCAATGAGGCTGGTGATGCCCCATGCAGGGACCAGGGCCCCAAATGCCTCACCCCACCCACCTGAGACTCCCCTGAGTACAGGTGCTGCCCTTGACTCATAGTCTGCCTGGATTAGTAAGGAGAGGCAGAGGGAGGGTAGGGAGGGTGTATCTGGAAGTGCCCAGGATAGAGGGCTCAGCTCCCAAGGATGCTGCTGGACAGTGAGGGACAAGGCCCTGAGAGTGGCAGGAGGTTCAGGCAGCCATCCTGGGTGAAGAACTTGGGCCCTGGGAGCCCCGTCACCTCACGCTGTGCCCCCTCCTAGAGCACCTCGACCTCGGGACATCTCCCAGGGAATCCCCTTCCTGAGGAAGCTGCCCAAGCTGCCACCTGGTTCCAGCCTCCTCCAGCTGCATTTCCCAGGTGAGGCCTTCACTGTGCCAGGCTTCTGTCGGTGTTCTGAGCTGACACTGTGTGAGTCTGACCCTCGGAACATGGTCACTGCAGGCCGAGGGGATAGGATGAACTGTCTTCACTTTCAGTCTGAACACCGATTCTTGGACACCTGTTGAACCCCAGGCTGGCCTTCCTCTTTGTCCCCGCTGGGCAGCCCCAGCCTCTCTCCTGACTGCTCCTGGCGGCAGCTCTGCTGCCCCCAGTTGGTGGAGGAGACTCAGCCCAGGAGATTTTTTCCTTCCAGGTGACCCCACAGCACCTGTCGCCTCAGAAGTTGAGGACCAGAGAGTCCAGCTCCATTCTGTGCCAGTGTGACCCAGTCTGCCCTGCCCAGCCCAGCGCAGAGAGCTCACACATGCAGTGCAGGGAGGTGGGGCAGGTGAAATTGCTATGAAAGTGTCTCAGGGTTGAAATGCTCTCCTGTAATGGGTTTGTTCGGTCAGGACTAATTAGAGTGAGTCAACTGAAGCTCTTCTGCAATACTTTGGAAGTCCAGAGAGACGTGCATGCCATCCTACAGGGACCCAG